CTATATATATATAATATATGCGGTGTATCTCTATAGCGCGCGAGAGATCTCCATAATATAAATATTTATAAATATATATACATATTTGTGTGTTTTTATACAGAGAGAGAAAGGTGTGTGTACAAATATACATATATATATATGTATATGTATGTATATATATATATATATGTGTATATGTCTATATATATATATATATATATATATATATATATATATATATATGTGTATGTATATCTCTATATATATGTATATCTCTATATATATATATATATATATATATATATATATATATATATATATATATATATATATATATATATATATATATATATATATATATATATATAAAAACTAAAAGGAAAAATTGCATTTGCATTTGATAAATAAATAAAAAATCACAATCTATTTCCAAATATTTTTACAAACACGAGTAATTTATCAAAAGAACTTATTTTCATGTAAAAAAAATAAATTATATCTATTGCAAATCTTTTTTACGTAATGAATGAAACCTGCAACCAACTATATATGTGCACTAATTAAACTACACTATCGTATAATAAATTGCAAATCATACGCAAGACGTAAATTATACTAAACTAACCATGTGTAACAAATTCGACTTAACGACATCTGCCAAGGGAATTCGAACGTGATATTATGAATTGTGTTAGGCATTTTCTCTTATTTTGTATAGGCATTTGATTTGAGAGATGTGTCCATTTTTTATGTGTTGTATTAAATGAACAAATGGTTCCCACTTGATGATGATAGGTGGAGTGATTGGTTTAGCAATTGCACCATAATAAAAAGTTGGAAGAAATTGATTAATGATTGGAAATAGTGTGGGTCCCACCCTCACATGTGTTTCAACATTTCATTGGCTGTTTGCAGCTTTAGTGCAAAATTTGTAGCCGGAATTTAAAGATTGTTGCGAATTTGAGTATGATTGATAACCACAGCCTAATATATAAAGTGAGATCATTATCTTGGAATATCATTTACAATCATTAGTGACCACATATATTTCACCTCTAATTCTTTTTTTTTTCCTTAATTTTTCATTGAAATAGATACACATAAAGTTATTAAGTAACTTTTATTTTATTTAGTCATTGTAGAAAAATCGCTAAATTAAAACGCAAAATGCTAGTAAGTTTTCATGTAGTTTTCAAAAGCGTATCCGTCCCCATTTTAGAAGTTTAAAATGTAGAGCATTTTCTTTTGTGTGTTTTTTCTTTCTATTTTCTCTTCATTGTCCATTACAATTCAAAACTCAACTTTCACTTATTTTTCTTCAAACAACGAATGAAAAGAAAGACAAAAGGCACAAGAAAAAGAAAAAAAAAAAAAAAACTAACTAGCGTGGAAGAAAGTGTTGGTTGGTGCATTGTATACCTTCAAACATACAAGGAAGCTCAATTTTGTCACCTCAAACCCCCTTAATTAAGAAGTTTGGAAACCTCCACCATTGGAAATCCTCAAAGTAAATGTTGACACCGTCTTCCTGCCGGGACAAGATTACTACAATATTTCTTTTAGAGGCTCGTGTTGGCCGATGTATCTAGTTGAAGGTGAAAAAGCTAATGGGTAGGGTTTGACCGGTAGACGGAGAAGCTCGTGCAATTCTTCAAGCTCTCACGATTAGGGGTGTGAACGAGCCGAACTCGCTTCTTTTGGCAGGTTCGAGCTCGAGCTCGAGTTTGTTCTTTTCTGGCTCGAGCTCGAGCTCGTGCCATTTTGTCGGGCTCGAGCTTGAGTTCGAGCCAAGCTCAATTTGCTTTTTTTTTTTTAGTATTTTTAATTATTATTTTATCATTATTTATTATTATTAAAAATTATTTTAGAAAAAATTACAAAATAAACAATAAATTGTAATTATATATATATTTTATTTATTTCTAGAATATTTTATATTATTATACATTATTTAAATAAAAAATAATATATAAAAATAATTTAAAAAAATAAATAAATAAGGCTCGTGAGCCGGCTTGTGGGCTCACTAACAACTAAAAACTGGCTCGAGCTCGGCTCGTCAGAAAGCCCGAGCTCGAAAAACTCGAGTCCGAGTTTGAGCATTTTTCGAGCCGGCTCATTGAGCTAACGAGTCGGTTCGACTCGTTTACCACCCCTACGTACTCACGATTGCCCGAGCCCTACAATTGGAACTCTATCATTGTGGAAGGTGAAACTACTTACCAATTATGGACGCCTTGCGAAGTAAAGAACAAACGCTCAGATCCTTCGGGGCCATTTTGGAAGAATGCTTTATTTTAGCTCGTTCATTTTCGTTTTGCTCTTTTTCTTTTGTTAAGAGACGTGGTGGCAATAGTCTTACTCTTAATTTCGTAACTATTTCTATTTTTGATTGTTCGGAAGGGTCCATCCTCCCTTCTCCTTTGGCCCGTGACAAATGATGGGTTTAACAAACATTTGGACTTTCCTAACGAGTCCAAAAATAAAATAATAAAAACGAACATAATTTACTTAGTTTAATATATTTAACAGCATAATTAATATGAAGGGCAAATTACGAGCACCCCCTGAAGTATTGCCTAATTACAAAAAAACCCTCCTTCTTTGCATAATTACGAGCATCCCCCTAAAACTAACGGACTGCAAAACATGGTAACAGAACATACGAATTGTCTAAAGTACCCTTCTTGTTAAAATAATTAAATATTAAATATTAAATAAAAAAGGAACAATGAATGATGTCGTGTCATATTACAGCTCTGTATTTGCCTATTTGCCTAACATTGACCCCTCACTATACTCAGACACAAAATGATTGAAACATCTAGGGTTTAAAGGAGAAGCTCACAAAATTTTACCTTTAAAAAATTTGTGCGAAATCTCACAAAATCGACAGAAAAGCTAGAGTTTTGAACTGGATTTGCACTAAACAAGACGTTTCTTGTCTGTTTGGCAGATTATACGGTAAGATATATTCTATTTCTTGTTTATTTCGTTTGGATATCGGCTTTGTTTTGATTTATGGGTTCTTCCCCCCCTAATTCTTCCGTCTGGGTTCTTTTTTCGTAGGATGTATTTATTCTTAAAGTTTCCATTTTTCCAATTGTGCAATTTGTTTTTCTTTTGTGAGTGGTATGTTTTTTCAGTTGTTAAATTATGATTTATAAATTTAAGATTTTTGAGTATTTAATTAAGGGTTCTGAAGTTTAAGGTTTTCCATTTTTTAATTTAGGGATTGTAGATTTAGGGTTTTTTATTTAGTATTTTTTAAAGTTTCTTAGAGTTTCTGAAGTTTAGTGCTTTTTCAGTTGTTGATTTAGGGCTTTTGAATTTAGGAATTTTCAGTTGTTAATTTAGGGTTCTTAAAACTTAGGATTTTCAGTTGTTAATTTAGGGTTTTTGTAGTTATTATTTTTTAGTTGTTAATTTAGGCTTTTTCTGTAATTTTGAGTATATTTTTTTTATTTCATGTAGGAAATGGCAAATCCTGTTTACCGGATTGTGCTGCATTATTTGGATGATGAGCATATACTTGATAGCATTGATCCTGACAGATATAGCTACATTGATTTGTGTACTGATATTGTAGCTGTTTTTCCTACGATTGGGGCAATTGATGGTATTAGGATTAGAAGTGGTGTTGAAGGTGGTGGTGAGTTAATGAATATCTCAACTGACAGTGATGTGATGAACATGTTTACTAGAAATAGTGTTTGTCCATATTTTCATATGTATGTGGGTCATGGTAATGATGAGGTTACAGAGTTGGTGGCATGGGAGGGTAATGAGGCAGATGATGTACATAATGGGGGTCATGGTAATTGGGCAGAGGGTGAAGGTGAATTCGATTTCCTTCATGAGGACAGTGATTCTGATTCAGACTTTGTTCCAAGTGTTGTTGCTAGGTTAAATGGCATTAGAGAAGAGTCTAGGAAGTGTAGCCTTCGTATAGTTGGATCAACATGAAGATGAAGCCCATTTTTGGGCCCAAGTTGATGCACTATCTAATGTTCAACAAACTGTCCAAGCCCATGTGCAAGCTTCTGCATCTGCCCCAGTTTTGCAAGGACCTGTCCAAGTTTCAGCATATGGAAAGGAGAAGAAAAAAAATCTCGTCACTAAGAAAACACATGTCCAAGCAATTACCAAAGCTCATGCGTCTTCAGCACCTGTTCAACTCAAAACTTCTGCACCTGTTCAAGTTAAAGCTTCTGTACAAGCCAAATCATCAGCCAAAGCTATTATAGATACTGCAAAGGTTACCAAAGTTCCAGCATCTTCAGCTCCTGTCAAAGTAAAATCTAAAGTTTATGCATCTAGTTCTAAAGTGAATTCAAATTCCCAATCACAGGCAAGTACCAATGCTCCTAAGACATCAGATTATGAGCATCTTGTTGCAAAGTGGAGTTCAGGTGGTGCAAGTAGGTTCATATCCCTATTCAAATAGTAGATTCTGGAGATATTTGTGCATAGGCCTTTTTTGAACAATTTTGTTTCATGTGAAGTTGTATAGGTCTGTTTTGTATCATGCCAAGTTGTGTTGTCACTTAGTTTTTGTTAGTTGAGGTATGGGATGAACCTTGTTTTTGTTTTATTTTGTAATCAACACAAACTTAATATGGCATGTATTATAAATTAGATGGAGTGTATGAATTAGTACAATTTAATCCCGCTTATATTGAAAATTTACTTTTGCAGAGAATTTAATCTTGCTTATTAAATTGGAATTTATTCTTGCAGTACATCGAAAATTCACTCTTACTAGTTAAATAGAACTACATATGTTTGACATAACATATAGATTGCAAATATTGCGAGGTTTAACACAATTAAACTGTGAACGACTCCAACTTCATCTTTGTTATTATTTACCTCGTTTTCTTGACGGACTTGGTTTCTTGATGCACTTGTAGCTTCATTTTCTTCATAATTAGGGGTAGATTGGGAGTTGTTGTATGAGAAATTTTGCCCAACATCAAATGGCTCACACTAATGAGAATAACCATGGTCTGGGCAACAATAAAACAACCCCCGGGGTTCATGTTTGTCTCTGAAACCATGATTGTCGTTTTCTTTCCACAATTAAGACGCTTGCATTTTTCTTTTTTGTATCTCAAGCAACTCATTTGGGAAGTGCTACTTGAAGAAGCCGTGAATTACAAGCAATATATCAGATGAAATGAAGCAAAAAATGAATGAGAAGCAAATGAACCCAATTTCTATTTATAAGTTCTGAAAAAAAACGGTCATTAATTCAATTTTCTGATTTTCTTACAATGACCCCCTCATACAATTTAAAACCTTACAATGAACCCCCCTGACAACAAAAAACGGCTAGTTAAAAAAAAAAGAAAAAAAAAAAAGAGAATTTAAAAAAAATTATAAAAAATAATTTACATTTTTTTTATAACCTTACGTATAGACCCCTAAGGGTATTCTAGTCTTTAAAAACGGATATTCCCTGGAATCATTCTGATTCTGTTACAGTTAACTCTGTGAGGGGGTATTTGTTAGACGGCGAATTCTTTAGGGGGGTGCACGTAATTATGCAAAGAGGGAGGGTTTTTTCGTAATTAGGCAATAATTCAGGGGGTGCTCGTAATTTCCCCTAATATGAATGAATGGAATGAGATAGGAATGAAACAAATTAAAGAATAGGATGATATATGTCTTACATTCCTTTACTTGGTATGTATAAGTAATACAATAAGAAATGAACTAATAAATTTTCAATAATTTCTCCTCTCTTTTCTAATAATTTAAATAAGGTATAATTAGTAAAAACCCCAATTCATTTACTTATATGAAAGTGGATATAATTTCTCAAAAAAAAAATATCAAGGTGGATATAGCCTCATTTTCATTATTAGTGAGAACCCCCTTAATTATTTAATTAAATTAATATTAATATAATTATTAAGTGTTATACCTATATTATCCTTAATTGTTCAAATCTTATATTTACAAACCCTAGCCATATTTGCTGCAACAAAACGCCGTTCTCAAATCCCCATAAACCGCCGTTCTCAAATCCCCATAAACCGCCGTTCTCAAATCCCCATCATCTCTTCTCTTCTTTTCTGGAATCGAAACTCACTCGGCTCGATGGCGGCGGCGGTGAATTCATGACGAAGGCGGCGCTACATCTCAACAACGACAAGGAAGACCCCTTTCTGTTCTTTCTCGAATTGGGAATCCGACGGATGTGGGGCAAGGAGAGGACGAAGCCGACTCCAGATCTCGACAACGACAAGGCGCCGCCGCCGAATTTAGGACGGACGGCGGCCTTCCGGTCTCCCCCCTTCCTTTCTGAGGGATGAGCAGATCTGCTGGTATTTTTTTTTTTTTTTTTTTTTTGTTCTTTCGATTTTTGGAAGCATTCCTGGGATCCTCGTCGGAAGACCGCCTCCACCACCGTTGTAATGGAATAGATTGACCTCGAGGAGGAGGTATTGTTTGGGAGGCTGGTTTGTTGAAATTATGTTCGTGTTACTCAAAAAGATATAGTTGTTTTTGTTACGGTTGTAGTTGGTTTCAATAATAGTCGTTTTTGTTGGAATTTTTGTGTGTTTTTTTGCTTTTGCTTTTGTGGATTTCAATAATTTGTAGTTGATTCAATATAGTTGTTTTCGTATAGCAATATAGTTGTTTTTGCACAACAATATACTGTTTTCATTACTTTTTAGTTGGTTTGAATAAATAGTTGTTTTAACAAATAGTTGTTTTGGAGATGTTTTGATTAAATAATTAGTTAATCTTACAATGGAAATAACATAATATATAATTAATTTAATAAATTGTGAAACTGATATATCATTGTTCTAATAATAGTCGTTTTAATAATAGTCGTTTTATCGGCATATAGTTGTTTTAACTGAAAACTAAAATAATATAGAAAAAAAATATTTAAAGAAAAATATTAAAAAAAAAAAAAGTTTTTTTTTTTTTAAATATTATTTTTTAAAGAAGAAATAAATAAAAAAACGAAAATTAAAATTAAAATATAAAAAATAAAAAAAATATATCAAACTAGTAGATAATGAGTAGTGAATAGTGGGAGGGTAAATTTGAGAATACAAAAAAAATGGGTTTGTCACTAATAAAGAAAAAAGAGCCGGACCCATCCTTATTAAAATAATGTTAGAGGGGATTCTCACTAATAGTCCCTTTAAATAAATGCTTTAATCGTCATAAAACTTATTACAATTAACCCCTCAATAAATTACAATCTTACAGTTACATCCTTAAAGTTATAAAGGTAAAAGTATGTTAGAATTGACGCGGGAAGGGGAAATTGTTAGACAGTGATATAAGTAGGTAGCTGATTATAATTTCGCAAACTATAGGGAGACTTTCATAATTTAGGCATACCCGAGGTGGTTGTTCCTAATTTACCCTACACTTTTTTGGCTAGAAGGGGCAATATGTATATTTTCATGGTTTGAGGGAGTAAAATGTCTATATTAATTATTTGAGGGGCTTAATCAAAATTAATCCAAGAATACCCAGTACCCATTGAAAGAGGACTTTTGCTGAACACTATTCAGACTTCAATTTTCATCCCCGATCCTTCGAAAAAATTCAGTAGCGTCTTCTTCCTCTTCGATTCTTCTTCGTTTTCTTCGCCGCAGCGCTTACTGCACAAAGAATTCTCTATTTCACAAGTAAGATACTTTGAATTTCTCCAATTTGTGTTTTTTTTACGAGCCCTAATTTTGCTCGATCCTTAGAATTTAGGGTTTTACAGTAAAAAAGATCTTGCTTTTACGGATTTCTTCTTCTTCACGGGTTGTTTTTTTCTGTGTTATTTTTTAGGGTTTGCGTTTGTAGAATTGCATAATTTCGTTTTTGTGGGTTTTTCAGTTATTGAATTTTGAATTATTCCTTGTGATAAACAATCATGAGTTTTCAGTAGATAAACTTGTTTCAATTAAGTAGAAAAATATGGAATGCTCAATTTAAAATTAAGATTTTTCAGTAGATACTTTGAATTTTTTTGCTTGGTATTGTGTTTCTGAATTGTTTCGGCTTATCGATATGTTTCCCACGTAAATTTCAGGGTTTGGGACTGTAATTGATATTAATTTCATTTTCCCAGAAAATAATATCTGAGTAATTGAATATACTTCTCTCCGTTTACTGGTTTGCTTGTTTATGCCGTTTACTCGTGCTCAAAAAAATTTAAGATTCTGTGTTTATCGCCTTTAAGCAACGAAGTGTAATTAATAATCATGAATTTATTAACCATAGCTTTTGCCCCCACTCGTCATATTGATGTGAAATGAGAAATACGTAAAATCGAATCGCAAGTTGTGAATGCATTGTCTAACTGATGAAGTATAAAAATGTCGAATATTCTGAATGAGTCGAAATCTGATCTTATCCCACTTTATTTATTTTGGTAATCTTTTTTATCAGCCGATAACTGGAAATTCGAGCAGTTAAACAACCGAAAGTTGCGATTTTTTTTTTTCTCAAGTACCTGTAAAAATGGCTATGACAATCGGAGGTTCGTTCTTCTATGCCTTCTTTCTTTGGATTAATTGTGGCTTCATTTGTTATTTTCGATACAAAGACTAATTCGCCTTTTTTTTTTTGGAATTTATTTTGCACTCTTTTGTTTTGGTGCTGCGCTATTGTACGACTGGTCTGTTCGACGAATTCAGTGTAAGTAAACAATGTCGATTTCATTAAGTTAATCCTAGTTTCGAAAGAAATTAATTGCAAAAAATCAACACGTTTTAGTTTCTTCCTGTCGTATTCTGCACAATTAATCTTTTTGCATTAAATTTTCAGTCTTGCGGGACTTGCGTTCATGTTTTCAGCCAGCATCCTTCTCCAAATCTTGGTAAGTTTTTATTGAATTAACGGACCATTCCGGAAAAGAAAAAAGATTATATCATATCTAGAAATTGTAGTTCTCGAATAATATTGCAGATACTATTCTTTTAATGTAATTCTGAATGCAGGCATGTGCAATATACAGCAACTGGTGGCCAATGTTATCAGGTTCGTGTGCATGTATGTTCGGTTTGGATATTAGTCGTCACTCGTCACAATATATTTCTGAAATCGGCAAAAGAAAATTTATTTTTATATTTTTTTTGCCTCAGCTCTTATGTATGTTCTGGTGCCGATGCCTTGTCTGTTTTTTGGTGGGGGGTCCACTCAGTTCCTTACAAGTCGAGAGGGCGGGGGGTGAGTAATTAATTGTGTGCGATTCACGAAAATTCAATTTAAATTACATAATAAAAAGCTTCAATTTTTTTATTTTATTTTTAATTGTAGGTGGATAGATGCAGCTAAGTTTTTAACAGGGGCATCTGCTGTAGGAAGTATGGCGATTCCGATTATCTTAAGGCACGCTGGATTAATTGGGACCGGAGCTTTGTTTATCGAATTCACTTCTTTCTTCATTTTTATCTGCACAGTTCTTTGCTTTCATCGTGCCACCCTTGATGACGAGTGGTAACTTTATCAAAGCTCATGAAAGGGCCGTTTGCTTCTAACTTTCTCGGGAAAAAAATTAATAAAAAAAAGGATTGTCACGAAAATATGGTTAGGATTGAAAAATGTACAGATAAAAATTGTTGATCGGCGGCGTGTAAAGACTTTAAAAACATTGAATTACAGATCAAGAAAGGTGAGTTTGGTTTGTTTGTTCAATTTCATGTTAATGTGTCTGCGAAATTTGTCTATCGGAACGGTATTGAGTACATGTTGAGTGCTGATGCAGGTGTTCAAATGAGTTTCGATATTTTATTTTTGGGTAAATTTCATCTATGCACCTCTTAGATAACTAAATTGCAACTTAGTACTATTTTAGATGAAAAATATACGTACTTTAGGGCTCGCTTGGTTACAGCTATTAGGTTTTACCGACTAAATAGTAGGGGCTAGTAAGATGTTCGATTGACAAAATTCGTATTTATTTAAATCTGCTATTAAAGTTGACGCTTCAATAAAAAAGACAACTTTATCGAAAAAATCATATATATTATTGTTAACCAAGTAGTTTTATAACAATTCATATATAGCAATCTAATATAACAAATTTGACTAATTTAATTAAGAAACCGAACGTTTTACTAACTAAATAATTAATTACTCAATACATAATTAATTCAACTTCATCTAATACAAATTACAGTATATGTATGCTCCTAATTGATTTTGCTTTTTTCTTTTTTTTTGTTTGTTCTAGAAACAGAAATTATCTTTTGGGATCCAAAAAAATGAAAAAAAAATGATATGTTTTATAATTATAATTATTATAATAATCAGTCTAACATAGGCCGCAAGCCCACGGTAAACCCAAAACCCTAGCTTCATCAGCCCTTCTATATAAACTACAACCAGCACAACAAAACACATAAATCACAAGAGGAATAATTTGCATTTTGCATCTACAGAAATTCTTTCTATTTTTGTTTTTCTCACGCTATTTATTTATTATTTTTATTTTTGATATATTATATATTTTATTACTTCAAAGCAAAAGGAAAGATTACAAATTTGAATTAAAATTAAATTTCCAGGCTTCATTATCTGGTTGACAATCTATATTAATTTGTTGTCAACTCGTTCCCTTGAAGCAACAGTATTTTGTGTTGCTCTTCTTTTTTTTTTTTAATTATTAATTAATCCCACTGTACATTTCTGTTTGCAATTGGGTAAACAGGGGCAGCTAAATAATTTATTTTTACATCAAATTTTGAACATTAAATTTTATTTATATATATTTGTTTATTTATGGAAAACGATGATGAGTCATACAGACCTGTAATGATTGCAGATATGATTGCAATTGTTTTTGAACATCTAAGGGACTGAGTTTTTTCTTTCTTTTTTGGGTAAATTGTATTTAACCCCCTCGTGGTTTCACCGTTTGGCACTTCACCCCCCTCTGATATCGATTTACGCACTTAACCCCCCTGTGGTTGTCAGATTGTAGCGACCGTCTAATAATCCGTTAAAGTTAACTGTGAGTGTATCTCACTCGCCCAAAATTGAAGTGGTTGAATGTTTCTCCAGCTAAAATTTTTGATAATGACCATGTTGTCCTTTTGCCTTCAATAAAAACCCTAGACCAATCTCTCATTTTTATTTTAATTAAAAAAACAAAAATAGAAATTTCTAAACATTTTTTTTAGTTCCGTATTACATAATTTAAACCTTTATATTAATTATTTTTTAAATTACATATATGAATTCTTTTGTAATTTATTTTATATTTTTCAAATAAATTTATGTGAACTTCAGCCTTCTTATTTTTAAGCAAAATATATATATATATATATATATATATATATATATATATATATATATATATATATATATATATATATATATATATAGAGCGCTCGCGCGCCCCCCCCCCCGCGCGTGCTTACGTATATAAAAAAAAAAAAAAT